ATGGTCGAAATTCATCGTACGTTACAGCATAGCGGTGAATATTGTTCCCCTCGTTATTCTCTTTCCAAAATGATCTTATGGGCCCGATCCGGAATTAAAATATTCTATTTCTACTAGTACTCTTTTTTTAATATACCCATTATGTCCTCCACCAGTGGCTATATTAAAACATTAATAAGTTCATTTTATTGCATCATATTTAACCGCATTAAATGTTTTTAATCTTTGTTTATCGCCTGAATTATGTTTTCACTTTTTCTCACGTTTTTATCTTCTAGCTTTCATTCATTAACAAATCTTGTCCATGGTAATACATTTTGCCAATATGATATTAGCGACATTTGAAATTAGAGACATATTTTGTCTAACTTTTTTATTTATTATTTTTGTACTTTTATAAAAATATGAGAGGCTAAAAAAGTCTTTACACAACCTTCTAACCAGCCGAAAATTGTCATAATGGCACGATGTTGTAATTGATAAATTGTTGAAGATAAAAATGCTCATAGAAAAATATAATACAACAATCTCCAAATATTTAAAACTTTTATTTTAATTAAAAAGTTGTTAAACGATATAAAATTATGGGGAAGACATAACAACGTGTAGCTTTATCATATCAAGACAAAATGACTAAAATAATTTAGTACAATAAAAATTATAGTAAAAAATTCAAGATCAAGATTTGGCCCATCCTATAAATTTTGGGGAAATTTGTTGATGGAGTACCTAACTTCTACAAAAATGTGCAAATAGGTCCTGGACCATTATTTTTAGGACTACCAACCCTCAACTTGTGAAGGTTAGTTTGTGTAGATTGTTGGGTTCTGTGCCTATATAGCATGATTTTTTGTTGTAATAAGATGACAACTTTATAATAAATAAGTTCCATTTTTATTTATTTTCTGTTATTGCGTTTATTTGATATTGAATGTGCGAATAAAAGTGTCAATGATCAATTATGATAACATAATTTTGATGCTTGTATTGAGAAGAGTAATGGATCATGAATGAAATTATTCACGATCAATGTATAAGAGTTGGCACTTTGTACTAGAAAGTTTTAGTTTTGATTATTTCACAATTTGTGTTTGGGATTTGTCATTATGCATATGATTTAATAGGGACACTAGTATGTTTGGAGTGTAATGTACAAACCACGTATCGAATTTAATTCTATAGCATGACTTACGAAAAATTAAGGTCGATCACCAAGTATTTCATTTAAATTCCTTGAAAGAGTTACGTATATTTTTTAGTGAATTTAATGGTTCTTTGATTTACCAATGGTTGAGATCAATTTGATTGATCATAGATCTTGATAAGTTGGGAGATCGAGAACACGAATTCACATCAAGAATTGTTATCCTAAAAAATGGACCAAATTACTATTTAAGTATTTTTTATTGAATGTTTATAAATCTGAGCTCAATATTTAACGATTGCTAAATTTTGACATAAGGCGATATGGTTTGCGTGATCGTAGAAGAAAATGTTATTTAAGTTAGTGAAAATAATTACAAGAGCAAAACGATCATTTATGCCCTAACCTAATCAAATATTGGATGAAGATGAAATACATATTTTAGCTTTAATAATTTTACATACACCGAGAGTGTTTTTGTCTTTAGAGAAAAGAAAAGACTAATAATTAAATTGTGTGGTCAATGGTCGAATACACATAATCTAAGCTCGAAAAATATATATACCCAAACAGGTCACTTTGATAGTTCTATGAAATTTTATAGTGTTGAACTTAGTTATAATTGTAATTAAAGTCTGTAATTAAATTAATTATGGTCTAAGTATAATCGGAGATAGAATGAAACATTTCATCTATAAATATAGATGAAAGTGGCGCCTAGGACATAACACAGATCCCTATGCATTAGGCTTAAGAAAAATAAAGAAAACGTATTTTGTTGTTTTCTTGGTATGTCCAGATTAGAATTAGATTTTTGATTTAACCCTTGTTTGATCCCCATTTTTTTATGAATGCATTTTTTTAAAATTTATTTTCAACCACATATTTTTTTATAAAATAATTATACACGAATTTCAAAAAAAAAAATTCTTACTTTTTAACCACACATTCTCCAAAAAATTACTATTCCATAATTCATTTTATCCCAAAAATGAGAATCAAACAGGGGCTTAATTGAAAAGATACTCATACAAGTTCGTGAATTAAAAGCTAAAAAATTGTGGATTAAATGATAGAAGTTCGTGAATTGGATTCAATTAAGAAATTGAATATCGATTTAAGTATATTTCTAACTCTAGTTTTCTTGATTACGACATACACGTGAATATTTAGAGAAGATCCTGATAAATTGAATTAGATATGAGAATATGGTGATCTATACACGAGCGTCAATTACTATGTCTAGTTCGGCTTCAAATAATTGGATAGATTGTGTTATTTTTTATATTTTATTTGCTATTCAAGATAATTTTTCTTAATGGAATTTATGCTGTTTACTTTAAAAATAAAAATAAAAAATGTGTTGTATTTACTTATTTGTCCTCTAAAAAATCAGACAAGTGCAAGGCCAATTAGTTAAGACAATCCATCCAAAAAAACCAATGTTTGAAACTCAAATGCACTTTTATCAAGGTCTAGGGACAACAACTACTACATATACGTACGAGTTATTGTTGATTTTATCATCCCGCAAGTTATAAAGTGGACTTAAGTTCAAGTATCGATCTCACGAATAATAAGTATTTAGCCCAGTTTTCAACTATTTTAACTCCAATCAAATACTAACGCACAATAGATAGGAGACAACCCTAAATTAACTAACCTAATTAACTAATCTAACTGTGGTAGGAAGCCTTTGCATTTTCTCGATTAATTGATGAAGCACTAGACCCCATATTCCCTAATATTTATACATCTTAACATCAATTTTATTAGTTGACAATATTTATTTGGAGTTGAATATCAATGTTCCTGTTATATCTAATAATCTCTGCGAGTAGAATTAGATTTATCATCATATATGACCCGTAATATTCATATCCCGTATGGAAAAATGCAAAGATGCATTAAATTACAAGAATATTTATTTGGATCATGCAAAGTCTACAACGTCTATATGTTCTTACAATGATTGTTATCATATGCTATATTTGTGTTCTTTCTTCCAAAATACAATAGAAATCACACATCAATTGAATTAGTGACCAATCAATTGAAAGCATTAAACCAACAATAGTGTCAAAATATAGAATCTAATATAAATATTTCAAAATATAGGGTTCAATGTTATCTTAGTATTTATACAACTACCAAGAACTGAAGATCGGAAACAAAGATGGAAAATAATTTTGAATCTTGAATTTTTTCAATGATTCTTGATTTCTCTGTAATCTTCTTTTCTTCTTCATCTTCAAGTAACTGTGTAAAAATTAAGTAGGAATATATGTCTTGTAACGAAAGTTTCTTCAAAGCTTTACAAAGAATATGAAATTTAATATGAAGTTTTCTCTTTTAATCTATGGAATATGTTTACAAGAGACTCTTAGCTTTCTCCTCCTAATGGCTTTCAATCACAAGCCCCTATTTTCATATTTCGTTTCTTTTGAGACACTTCTCCTTTGCACCTTTAGTCTTTCATTTTTAAATCTTCATATTTTAGTCCTTAGTATTCTGTAATCATTCGTAATCAATCTGATGTAAGTTTGAAAAATTTAGAGTTAAGTCCCTAAACTCTCCAAACATTAGATTTAGCTTGCAAAAATTGTGAATTGCGTTCAATTGCCCTCTTAATACTTTCAATTCGTCAATTGCAATCCGATTAATCATCAATTGCTATGAATCAACTCCATTTTAGCTTCGAAAATGCCTTTTTCAGCCAATTGCATCCAAATGCATTCAAGTTGGAGATTTACCAGCCATTAACATATTTACACCTAAGCAATTAAAGAAGCCCCAAATAAGTGTATAAATATGCACTTGTCACTTATACAAAAATATATAACATGAGATCAGATATTATGATGTGCATCTTTGTCTAATTGAAAAAATTAATTACTTATAAGTTTTAAAATAATGTTTTGATATATAAATTTTAATTAAACAATTTATCTCAACGTTAAGTTAAGTAAATTTTTTTACTTATGAGAAAGAAAAATAAGTTATTAAAATGAAATGTTTTATTAGAAAAGCTGTTCACTTTATAGTAATGGGGATAGAAATTAGAAAAGTTAACGCCATTTTTGATAGTTGTCGTAAATGAGTCGAATCCACACGCAAAGGGTTAAATTCCGCATGCTTTTTCTCTGTCGCTTTCCAAACTCAGTCAAAAGATAATTTTAGTAGTATCATACAAAAGCTAAAGCGTTTTCCTCAACGTCGGTCCCTACCTCTCTAACGTTCGTGTATTCAAACTCTTGAGTCGAGGAACATAATTCGAGTCGGCAAAAGTTCTTGGTTCAAATCTCGTTGAAATTATTCATTAAAATTTATTTACAGAGAAGACTTTTGATTAAGACTAAATTCATCTTGTACTTTCGTTGAAAACAAGATTTAGTCCATGTTTGATTCAGATAAAAATTTTGACTACATGAAGGAATTCACAATTTTCGATTATACATTCCATCAACTTTTATTAAAATTTACTAAAAAATTAATTTTTATCGAAATCAAACAGGGTTTTAGATTATTATTATATAATGGTAATTAATGTATTGTCAAGTGTTAGATAAAAGATATTTGATAAAAAAAAATGATGGCGTTCATGTGATGGGGTGCGTTGAAAATATGATAGTTCGATAATAAACGTGATCTCTTTCTAACCGTTTAAATTTTTACGTGACATGAGAGTAACGCGTGTGAAGATTTGAAGACTAAATTCAGATATGTAAATATATTACCTTTCTAATAGCTTAATCTTCCAAAAGAGGAGGTACAACAAATTTGTTACTCTCTATATGTGTGTGTGTGTATATATATATGTAATGTATAGTTATAACGACACACACTTAGGCTCTCAGAATTCTTACGCTCAAACCCTACTCTCTTAACTTTGTCATCACTCCAATTAGTTTCTTCTCTTCCAAAATCTCTAGCCTTTTACAATAGAAGCTTATCCGAATATTTTCGGTACGTCATTGAACCTTAACTTTATCTATCTATGTTGTAACTGATATATATCATCACACTCTCGTGTTCTGTTTTTGGCCGAACAATGCTCTAAATGTTAAAATCTTTAAAGTTCTGTAAATTTTCAGTATATTTTATAAACAGTATAGACAAGATTTCTAGGACAGCAAGAGTTTTAATTATTTGACAGTGGGATTTTGTTCGTGCAACAATTTGAATTTTCTTAGGATACTTAATTTTCTTAATGATGCTCGTGCTTGTTCTTGTTGTTACTTTTGTTGTCCTCATGATGATAGAAAATGTCATTTTTATTCTATCAATGAATAAAAGATTATTCTAATTCATGAAAAGCTGTGTTATTCCTTTCGTTCTCTGGATTTTCCGTAACTTGTCAGATCCAAGATAAATGGTGAAAATCTTATATTACTTGTCATGTTTTGTGGCAGAAAATAAAGGAATTATTCTCCATTTGCTGAAGTTTACTCAGTTCTCAGGGTTTTCTTTAAGCTCCATCTGATAAAAAAATTTATACCTGGAGAGTGATCAGTTGAAAATGGCCAAAAAAGGGCTGAAAAGATACAAATTGTTCTTCGTGTTGGAGTTCATGTTTGTGTTCTTGAATCTGTATGCATGCAAAGGATTTGAAGTTGAGCTACTTTTGTCTTTTAAAGCTTCAATTAACGATCCGATGGAGTCTCTGAGCAGCTGGAATTCCTCTCTCTCTTTCTGCAAATGGAATGGAATTACCTGTTATGATTCGTCTCATTTAGTGAAAATCGAGCTTCCAGGGAAGAATTTGTCTGGAAAAATTTCAGAGAGGATTTTCCAGTTGCCATATATTCGGAATATTGATCTTTCCAGCAACCAGTTCTTTGGGGAAATTCCAGGGAATTTGTTGTCGTGTTTTTCGCTCAAGAGTCTCAATCTAAGCAATAATAATTTGACTGGTCCAATTCCAGGAGGCATATCTCTTCCACTTCTTAAAACAATGGATCTCTCCAACAATATGCTTTCAGGAAGAATCCCAGAAGAAATTGGACTTTTTTCAGGCCTTGAAGTTCTTGATTTTGGTGGGAACATTTTGACGGGAAAAATTCCAAACTCCATTATAAATATGACAAACTTGAAGGTCTTGACTTTGGCATCAAATCAATTGATTGGGGAAATTCCAGGAGAATTAGGGTTCATGAAGAGTTTGAGATGGATTTATTTGGGATATAACAATTTCTCTGGTGGAATTCCCAAGGAAATTGGTGATTTAACTTCCTTGAATCATCTTGATCTTGTTTACAACAATCTGACAGGTGAAATCCCTTCATCTTTAGGTAATCTAACCAATCTTCAGTATCTTTTCCTCTACTTCAATAAATTCATAGGTCCAATTCCAAGATCCATTTTCAATCTCAAGAAATTAACTTCACTTGATTTAAGTGACAATTTCTTGTCAAGTGAAATTCCTGAAGTGGTTATTCAGTTGCAAAATCTTGAAGTTCTCCAATTGTTTTCGAACAATTTTACCGGTAAAATTCCAAATGCTTTAACTTCTTTACCTCACCTCCAAGTTCTGCAGTTGTGGTCAAATAAACTTTCCGGGGAAATACCTAAAGACCTTGGGAAGTATAATAACCTCACTGTATTAGACCTTTCATCGAATAACCTAACAGGAAAAATCCCAGAAAATCTTTGCTCTTCCGGACACCTTTTTAAGCTAATCCTCTTTTCGAATTCCCTGGAAGGTGAAATCCCTAAGAGTTTAAGCAATTGCAGAACTTTACAACGCATCCGCCTTCAGAACAACCGGCTCTCCAGTGAATTGTTCCCTGAATTTACCAGCCTCCCTCTTGTTTACTTTCTTGATATTTCCGGGAACAATCTCTTTGGCTCAATTGGTGAAAGGAAATGGGATATGCCAGAACTTCAAATGCTAAGCCTGGCAAGAAATAGATTTTCGGGGCACTTGCCAGATTCCTTCGGCAGCAAGAAGATTGAGAACCTGGATTTATCAGGAAATAATCTTTCAGGAAGCATTCCTCATGGTTTTGGGAAATTTTTGGAAGTTATGGAACTGAAATTAAGTGAAAACAAGCTCTCAGGTAACATTCCTGATGATTTATCTCTATGCAAAAAGCTTGTGAATTTAGACCTCAGCCATAATCTGCTTACAGGGGGAATTCCTATTAGTCTTTCTGAAATGCCAGTTCTTAGCCAGCTTGATCTGTCTGTAAACCAGCTATCAGGCGAAATCCCCTCGAATCTAGGCAAGGTACAATCACTTGTTCAAGTAAATATTTCCCACAACAATTTTTACGGAAGTCTACCCTCCACCGGGGCGTTTATTGCCATCAGTTCTTCCGCGGTGGCTGGAAACAGCCTCTGTGGTGGAGAAACAAGTGGTTTGCCACCATGTTCCAATGTTAAAAGTCGGGTTCCCTGGTTATTGTTGGTCTGTCTTCTTGTTTCCTCTGTGTTGGTTGTTCTTGCCATTTCCATTGCTGTTTTCATTCGTCAAAAAAAGAAAGTCGAGTTGAAGAGAATTGAAAGTGAAGATGGAACTTGGGAATTACAGTTTTTGAATTCCAGGATTTCGAAATCAATAACTATCGAGGCTATTGTTTCATCTATGAAGGAAGAAAATCTCATTTCCAGGGAAAAGAATGGAGCTTCATACAAAGGAAAATCAACTACAAACAACATGCATTTCTTGGCCAAGGAAATCACTTCATTTTCATCCAAGTCTTCGACAGATATAACAGAATTATGTAACCTTAAACATCTAAACATCGTGAAACTACATGGGATATGTCGGTCAGAAAAGGTTGGAATTTTAATTTATGAATACATTGAAGGCAAGGATTTGCATGAAGCCCTTCCAGGCCTGAGTTGGGAAAGAAGACATAAAGTTGCCATTGGAATCGCTAAAGCTCTTCGATATTTGCACTGTTATTGTTCAACAGGCATCCTGGCAGGTGATCTTTCGCCTCAAAAAATTATCGTCGATGAAAATGACGAAGCCCACCTGAGATTGTGTATTCTGGGACCAGTTTATGCCGATAACACGTGTTTCATTTCTTCGGCCTACCTTGCTCCGGGTACGTAATACTAGACATTATAATGAGTAAGCTTCTTTTTCTTTCACAAGAGTGTGAGGGTGCTATTAACATATACACTTAAATGTTACAATTCTTAGAAGAATTAATTACTATAGAATAAGACGAAAATTTTATCATGTATCCTAAATTATTATGTAAATATTTTGAGATTTCAAGTTCTGATAATAAATTAAAGGAGTGTAAATTGTGGAATAACAGGACTAGAGCATGATTATTTCTTTTGGGTGATGCTACACGTACATAAGGGTATCCATAATGGTGTCCATCCCCCTCACATAAAGGGAGATCCATTTCGAATAAAATGTAGCTTCTGTTTGGTGCTGTTTTTTCGAGTCAAAAAATCAATTTTTTGACTGTTACTTAATATAGTCAACCGTCTTTTTTAACTTCTTCACTCACATGTGGAACTCATCTTTCAAGTTAAAGGTCGAAAAATTGATTTTCAAAATCAACACCAAACAGGCTCCAATTTATTCGAAGTGGGTCCCCCTCCATATGAGAGAGGTAGACACTGTTATGGATAGTTGGACACCATATTATGTACTAGTTCTTTTTAGAATGAATCCAATGTTGCCATTGGTTCTTTATGGGCTCAACCTTTGATGGTGAAGGTCCCTTAAGCAGACAAGTTTCATCAAGGGTATCATGAAAAATTCTCACTTTTTACTTTACAAGTACTGATATAGATACAGTGATCTGCATTTAAAAATTTAAGAAAAATAATGTTATCATTTTGCTTTTCGTGTGTATCAAAAAGTTTGATAAATCATTGTTGATTAATTCTTGAAAAACCATCTTTTTTCTTTTTCCATATAATAATCATGTCCATGCACGTTATAATAAATTATGTCTTATAATGATCTGCAGAAACTCTAGCATCCAAGGGCATGACAGAGAAGAGTGACATCTATGGATACGGCCTTGTTCTGATAGAACTTCTGACTGGAAAATCTCCGGCCGATGACTCGGGGTTCGGAATCCACAAAAGCATTGTTGAATGGGCTAGATATTGCTACTCAGATTGCCATCTTGAAATGTGGGTTGATCCAACCATCAAGAATCATGCAGTGATGAATAATCAAAATCAAATTGTTGAGATAATGAATCTTGCCCTTCAATGCACTGCGACTGATCCTGCAGCCAGGCCCCGTGCAATTCATATAGTCAAAACCCTAGAATCTTCTTTGAAATCGAGTTTTTGTGGATTTGAACTTATTTCTACCAATGTGTAGTTTTGTGGGCATTTTTTTTTTTTTTTAGCCTTTTATTATTAACCTTTTTTCTTTGATCTTTTTCTGTATAAGGGTCAAGTTGAATGTTGTTTTAATCAGAGTCTCAGCAACAGTGGCCTAAATTCTCCATTGGTGTTGTGTCTATGAATCTCTTTATTAATATAAATATTGTAGACAAAATGGGATTTTAATATATGAAGTACAACCTCTATTATGGACTTAAACCAACCATTCTGTTACTTCAATTTCTTTCTGTCGACTGTCGGTGTGATTGAATTGGAAGAACAAGTCGAACTTTAACTTTTCACAAGCCAAGCGAGCTCGGCTAGTTTTTGACTATTTTATTTATTAATTTTTCAAAAAACCAAAACAAAAAACACCAGCCAATTCATGGGTCGGATAGAGCTCGACTCATGTCAACACGAGCCAAATGGCAGAGCGGAGCCTTTGTTTTGGAACACTAGCCAAGCTTGGCTCGTCCTTAGTATTAGTCCGCTCGGCTCGACCCATTGCCACCCTTTTCCCGAAACTAAAAGGGATTCAATTTCGTTTTGTTTTGGTTAGCAAAAGTGGCTCTCTTGCTTGGGTCTCTTTATTGGATTGTGTGCCCACATAGTATAATTTTAATTAAATAAAATGATAATTTTGAAAATATAAAATTTGTTTGTAAATTTATTTATTTTCTATTGTAGCATTTATTTAATATTAAGCATGCGTATAAAAGTTTCAATGATCACTTATGGTAATTAATATAAGTAGGATATTTGTTTGAAAAGTACAATTTGATACAATTTATATTTTGATCATTAATAAAATTGTTCACAATCAATGTATATTGATTCAAAGGACCATTGAAGAAAAAGTTAGTAAGAATAATTAAAGGAGCGAATTGGTCATTTAAGCTCATACCTAATTATCGAATCTCAATGAGAATGAAACATTTATATGATAGGTCAAAGGAAAATATTACTAATAAATTTTAGTTTTTATGATTTTATATATTTCGAGAGTGCGGTCTCTTCCATTTAGTGGAAAAAACAAAAAACTACTAATTAGATTAGGTAGTCTAGGCTTGACTAGACATGGTCTAATTATTGAACCTTGAAAAATATATATATCCGAATACGTCCCGTTGTAGCTATATAATGTTGTGGACTCAATTGCAATAGCTGTGAAAGTTTTGTAGTAAATTGTAATTAAAATTCAAGGCTACACTTGATATTAAACCTATTTTAGCCTAATTAGACTTGGACATGGATTGAAAATCTTTAATATAGTTATACGAATGAAGATGGCGCCTAATAGAACATACAGATCTCTTTGTGCTGATTTTGATTAAAAGCGCGCGAAAAAAATTATGTTTTTGGTTTTCTTGATCTATCTAGACTAGAATTAAGTTTTTAATTTAATTGAAAAATATCTACATATCGGTATGGTCTATACTCCAAAAATTACAATAGAAAACTTAAAGGGAGCACTAAGTCCGCGAATTACTTGATTGGATTTCATTTTTTGTAAGATCGTCTAGATAGAACATGATTTGAGATCATCCTAAAGAAGATGAAATTATTTTTTAAGTATCTAGAGAAATTGACAAAATTTATATATTCAAAAGGAGATCACTATAAACCTCCTGTAGAGAATCCTGTTTACGATTTTGGTCATCAAATGAAACAATACTAGGCATATCTAGACAGTTGTTTCAGATATGGTTTCTCTAGCTGAATTGTCTGTACTTGATTAGTAAGCATAATAATCTATAAAGAAGCATGGTCAATCACAAGGATCAAGTAGCCATTCCATTATTGTAATTTTATAGATTAACTTTTGCAGTCATACATCATATACTAATTTATTATTCAATGCTCAATTTTAATATGCAATATTTTGTTATTTTTCATCAAACCCTCTCTCAATTCATTTTATGATATTTTGAAACAAAACCGACTTACTAGAAAACTTATGTGGATTGAGAACGTAACTCAAGTTTGTGCTTATTGCTAAAATACTTGATTTTGTATGCTTGACGGAGAATGTCCTAAGGAACTTACTAAGACTATATGTAAGACCAAGAAGGCTATATATAGTAAAGGCGTGGCTATAGACAAGATGTCTTGCTATTATATTTTATCATCCATATCAAATGTGTTGCAATAAAAGCATGAAAGTCTGCTCCTCTTGTTTCATAATGCAAAGTTTTCAGAATATATTTGAACATCAAAGTAGAGAGCTCATTTTGAAACTTGTATCTTACAAAACATTCGCACGAAATTCTAGAATACCTATGAAGAATCATATGTTGACTATGATTGTACGCTTTAGTATGGAGGAAAATCTAGGTACAACTATTAATTCAAATACTCAAATTGATAGAGTTGAACTCTTTATCTGATATATTCTTACCACTTACTTTGGACAATCACTTAAACAAGATGAAAACGCCATTGACAGAGTTGATGAATAAGTAGAAAAATATGAGAAAGTGTTCCTAAGGCTAGGAGTAGTAATGCTCTTATAGCGATTGCTAGCTCTTCTAGGTCTAAGCCGAAAAGGCAAATTTGAAAATAAGAGGAAGATACTTAGCAGGAAGGGGAGCAAAAAAGGATCGAAGATGAAAAGTTGTAAGGCAAGTGTTTCAACTGTGGTAAAAAGGACTTGAAGAAAGACTACCTAGACTACCTTAATACACTAGCTAAAAGAAATTAGTGGTTCATCCTTCAAATTCTAGGGTTGCAATTTCTAGAGCCACTATCATATTTTTATGTTTATGCGAGTACTTTTTTGGGGCAAAAAATTCAATGAAGGTCTGTTTACTATCACCGCTAGCACAAGAGCAGTCATTTCAACAAGAGCCATGTGAGTGGTTCATTTTTATTTCACCAGTTTTAGGTATTTAATTCTTAAATACTATTATTATATCCGCATATGAAGTGGAATTTAATTTTCATTTCTTGTTTAGTAGGACAAGTTGTTAGCTCTGTTCCAAATTTCATATGTTGACAAGATATTTGTCAAATTTATCATGCAAATTTCCAAGAAGTATAATTTACCCTTGAGACATGAAATTCAACCCTCTAAGGAGCAATTTCCTAAAACTCCTAAAGATATCGTATATGAGTAAAATACCTTATATGTCTGCAGTAGATAGTCTCACATATATTAAGTTGTACTCTTGACCTTACATATTTTATGTTGTTGGTAAGGTAAGTTATTGTCAATCTAACCCTAGATTAGAATATTAGGTTGTCGTAAAACAAAGAACAAAGAACTAAATGCATGTTTAATCTCTACCAGATCTATTTCTAGCGGGATATACAGATTTCAACTATTCGGCTGAAAAAAGACTCTCGCAAGTGTACAGCAAGATCGTTATTTACTCAAAGTGATGGGGCAATAATATGGAGAAATATCAAGCAATCATGCATTTCTAATTTTATCATGGAGGTCGAGTATGTATCAACATATGAAGTGTCTAAAGAAGTGTGGCTCAAGAAATTCCTAATGGACGTTAAGGTATTGCCAGCAAGCCCATGATAGTGTATTGTGATAACAATGCGATAGTGACAAATGCTAAAAATCAAAGAGTCTTAAAAGGGTAAACACGTAGAATATAAATATCATCTCTTAAGAAAGATTGTTTGTCATGTTGTCAATAAAAATTGCTTCTCGGGATAACTTCGTAGCCCATTTATAGGTTTACTAAAATTTGGCCAGCTAAGAGTTTTGAAGGCCATTTACAATTTACGAGTTGCAAGAAATGACACATATAGTCTAGGAAAAGTTTGAAATTAGTTTGGTCGTGTGCCCATATAATATAGTTTTGTAATAATAAAATAATAATTTTATAATAAATAATTTTTTTCATTCATTTTATGTTATTAGATTAATATTGAGATTGTGAATAAAATTGACAATGATTACTTGTCATAATATAGGTCGGATGCTTGCGTTGAGAAGCATATTATAAAACAACTTATATTTTGATAATGAATAAAATTTCAAAATCAGGATTGACACCTTGTATCGAAAAGTTTTAGTGTTGATTGTTTTACCATTTGAGTTTGCATTTTTCCATATCTCAAAAATAATAAAATGATTATACTAGTGTATTTGGATTGTAATAAGCTGACCAAGTGTCGAATGTAATTCTGTAGGATCATGCAAAGAATTAAATTTCACTTAATCATTGAGTATGTCATCTAAATCAATTGATAAGATTGTGTATATACTTTCATGAGTTTAATGGCTCTTTAATTTACTAATGGGCGAGATCAATTTGGTTGATTAAATAACTCAAAAATTATGAGTTTATGCTCATACCTAATTATCTAATCTTGAATGAAAAAAATATATACGGTAGGTCTGAAAAATATATTATAGATATATTTTAGTTTCTTTGATTTTATATAATTCTAGATTGTAGTCTTTTACATTTAGGGCCTGTTTGATTCGGTCAATTTTTCACCTTCTTCATCATTTGATTGCAAAGATTTTCCCGGCAATTCGTTCCCTCCCCTCACGTGACCCATTTTCCTTGGTTTTGTTAATAAACCAATTCCCATGGGTTTGGTAAGAAATCAGTTTTCCACCTTTTTTTCAATTTTTTTTTTAAAATTTTTGGCAATGAAAACAAATCACATCCACAATTGTAACAAATTATATTTCTATAATTGAAAATTTTCATGGAAAACAAAGCCAAACGAATTCCAAAAAATCCAAAATTTCAACTTTTTTATTTGAAAATTATACCAATCAAATACATTTAATTGAAAGATCTCAGTAAAACACGTTATAGACAATTCAATTTCTTGAAATTCTTTTTCTTGTCATATAAATTTTATTCTTGCAATCAAACGGACCCTTAATAAAAAGTGCAAATAATATTAAATAGATTGTACAGTCTAGGATCGTTAGACAAGGTCTAATTAGTGAAGCTTGAAAAATATGTCTGAATAGGTCCTTGTGATAGTTCTATAAAATATTGGACTCAATTGCAATTACCGTGAAAGTTAGATTCAACTGTAATTGCGAGTAAAGTTTAGGGACTGCACTCACAATTAAATTAATAGTGACCTAATTAAACTTGAAGATGAATTGAAACTCTTTCCTCTATATATACAGATCAAGATGGGGCATGGGAGAACACATAGATCCATGGTGTCGATTTTGGCCGGGTGGGCGGGGGAGAGGGGGTGGGGAAATTTTTATTTTCTTGGTC